ATTTTATTTTTTTACCAGATCCCCCCTCCAGGATCAGCGGCGTTTGAGACCTGCATCGCCATGGTAACACCTCGCTCAGGCGTGCGGGGTAAATCACAGCTAGCAGGAGGCAGTCTGGGGGAAGGAGGAGCAGAATTTAACCCCCACCCTCGGAGTCCAGAAAGGGGGTTGCCATTAATTCCAGGAGCGTGGTCACCCACCCATGACTCCATCACAGAGGATGCAAAATTACTCGCCGACACCGTGGTGGCGGTCCGGGTGTGAGCTGAGCGTTTACAGAGGGTTCGTGGAGGCCTGCCCACGAAGGAGGCCTGCCCGGTCTGCTTCCTGTGACTAAAATCAAACACGTAGCTGTATGTGGGCCTCTCAGCCTAAGTCAACAAGGCTGTCAGACACAGCTTCTGACTTTCACCTGTGGGAGGCGTTAGTACGCACACGTCACAGGGATGTTAGAACCTGTGATTCGGAAAAATAATGATTTGTTCGTCTGCTGCAAGCTGCCTCAGCGCATGGTGGTCTGAGTCACCTTAGGGAAGGATTTAGCGCGAGGAGGAAATGTTTATTGTGAGAAACGGATAATTATCTTCACCTGGGGGACTTATTGGTTATTGTTAATTAATTCATCACGTCCGTTACGGGGTTTTTGAAGAGTTTCGCTGAAGATGTATATGTTGTTGTTGATTTTTCTTTGCAGTTTCTGGTGAGGGGGCGCAGTGGGGTTCATGAATTAAAGATGGCCGTCCCTGAGCACGGTCACTGCGCTTTTAAACGCGGGTGTGCATGACAGGCCTCTGCACACGGCCTGGGGCTCACACTAATGCAGCGTCCTGCTGAAACACGCTAACAGACCTTTCCTTCTCCCCCATTTACATTTAATTCACACACACCCTGCCACTTCTATAAATTTTAATTCAGGTTATTTCTTTCTTAATCGAATTAATTTACACATCCGCGCTGAATTACTTCACTGGCAGTATCATGTGACCGCGCTTTCTGTCGACATTCCTCCCCCAGCTGCAGATATTGGCGGTGAGGCCGCGGAGGAGCGTGCGGCGGACGGGGCGGCGGGTGGAGGAGACCCGGAGGAGGAGCCCCCAGGTATGTGTCACGGTGAGCTGCGGGGGTCACAGTTTCCCGATATGAGCATTTTTGCAAGTCGCCTGGGTCTCATTGTGGATGACGCTCGCTGCTGCGTCTCGTTCCCTCCCTCAGCCGTTCTACTGGCCCCGGAGATCGACGCCCCAGAGGTCCCGACGTCACCGGCGTCGGCTGTGGTTTCCGTGGAGCCGGCGGCAGCGAGCCCTTCGTCGACCCGCAAGGACGAGTGCCCCGACACCACGACGGGAGCCTCGGAACCGGCGGAGCCCATGGATTGTCCCCCCGAGGACGTGGGCTCCCCACCCCAGGAGGCCGAGCAGACGGCAGGGGCCGCCGAAAAGGCTCTGGACTCTCCTACCAAAGAGACCAACTCGATTGCGGAAGAAACAATGGAGGTCTCTCCCACGGAACATTCTAGAATGTCTGGAATAGACCAAGCGGCCGATTCCGGGGGCGAAGGGCCACCACCGGCGGAGACTGGCGTCCGGATAGCGTCGGGGTCCGCAGACGAGGCCCCTCCTGGCGCCGAGCCCAGTCCTCCCGCAGAGGCGGACTGCGCTCCCGCCAGCGAGCCGGCCCGCTCCGATTTCAGCCCCCCTGCCGAGGACACGCCTTTGAGGCCGTTCATAGCAGAGGCGGCATCGGGAAGTCCCGCCAAGCTGGCTCTGTCCCCACCGTCTGCGGAGGCCTCCCCCACGGAGCCCCCTCCCAGCCAGACCGCCCCCACTCCGCTCGAGCATGGCATACCTTCGACCACCTTCATCTCCATGACGCCTAAAATCGGCATGGGGAAGCCCGCCATCTCCAAGAGGAAGTTCTCCCCTGGAAGACCACGGGCGAAACAGGTAGGTGGCCCGTTTACCAAGCCCTGGATTTGGGGGGGGTGGGTGGCCTTCGTGCCCCACGCTGATTGACATTCCCAGGCTAACGAAGCCTCTGTAGATGGCATCGGTAGTTATAATATTTTTCTGTTGTTTTGATTTTGTCAGTATGAAATTAATCATTAATTAAAGTAGGACATCTTTGCCAGAGTGTGCAAAGCACATCCGTCGCTTTGGTTCTGTAACCTAGGAGAGCGAAGACCTTCATGGACAATATTATTTGCTGGTGTGACACCTACTCTGAGTTCTTATACCACTAAATCTTACATTTTTATTCGAATTTTGTGGTGTTTATTTCATTATACTTGTGGTTCATAGGCTGCTGGGAATTTCAGGTCAGTTTGAGATGCCGTGTTGCTGATAAACAACGTAAAACAATCAGAGACCCGGGTTCCATTGACATGATGGAGTTTGAGTCAGTGAAGCTGATTGGTGAAAAAAATGGTTCCAGATAACTCTGTTTGTGTGTGTGTGTGTCTGTCTGTCTGTGTGAGTGAGAATGTGTGGTATCTTGCTTCCAAATAGCTAATGGAGTGACATGTGTTAACGCGTCCGTCATGTGTATCTGTGGTAGGTCTGTGTCCGGATTGGACTAAGACCCTCCTGTCATTAGCCGGGTGCCTGCAGGAGCATAATATGTCTCCCCACTTGGGCTGTGGTTGACGTGGCGTCCACTTGCTAAACACCGCCCTCGCCACTAAGCCGAAGGCCCCGCCCCCATTGCCGTTAGCGCCGCCGGGTTTGTGAGTCCTGTGACAGAACCAGAAGCTCCGCCTTCCTGGAGTGTCGTAACCGTAGCAACCGAGATGCGAGAAACAAGCGGATCCCTGGCAATGTCGGCAGACGAGGGAAGCTGGGGATTGGGCTTCCAGGAGAGTGTCCAGAACTGTCCAGCATTGCTTACGCGACGTTGCGTTCTTTCAGCTCTGTTTCTGTCCTCACCCCCACGCATGTCCTCGCTGCACGCGCGCGGCCGCGGCTCTCCCTGCTCTCCGTGACGGTGCTGCGGCACCCTCGCCTGCCCCTTTAAAAGCTTGGCCCCACCCTCTTTCCCATGGCCTTGCATCTGTGTCCCGTGTGTTACTCAGCCATGCCGATAATACAGATATTTAGAAATCAAATACGTCCCACAGCCATTTTATTCATGTCTTTAAATGGATTTAAATGATGAGCTTCATTTTGTGATGCGTTTATTCCCTCTACCAAATCCATCCATACATGTCCATCGCATGGTTGTCATTAACGTTATTTTATTTTCATGATGTTGTTTGAGATGTGCTGTGAAACCTGTACTGAAGGACCTGGCATCTTACATGGGAATGAGGCTCCCTACCTACTAATCAGATCAGTGACATGAGCTGTCATCTTATTGGCTGGGCAATTATGAAGTCCCACCCACTTTTATATGTACCTCGTGCATGTATGATGACCTCGATTTTGCATGATTATTCTGTATTGCACTACAGTCATTGCTGCATTGCTTGTTTTGTGTACTAATTTACTACCCCCCCACCTTTTGATCTTGGTTTGTCCCACTTAGCCCCCCCCCTTCCCCTCGTGTTGGCTGTTCATTTTGTCTGGCTTCATCCCTCCTCCCCATTCTCTCATCCGCTGTGCCGTAGGGAGCATGGAGCACCTATGGCAGTGTGAGCTCACCGTCGTGGTCCCCGGACCGCTCGGACGGGTGGGACACCCCAAAGACGAGGCAGGGTCCTGGCTCGCCTCCCTGGAGCATCAGAGTGGTAAATGGCTGGCCGGGGGGTTGGGGGGGGGGGGGGGGGTTCTGGCAAACCATACGGAGTATCAGGAGGGGGAAGCAGCTCCTGGTTCCTACTATGGCTGGCCGGGGGGGGGGGGGGGGGGGGGGTGGTGCCCTCATGATGCTGGAAGGATGGGTGGGCGGGTTCTGGTTCATGCAAGCCGGTTCTGACGAGGTGTACACCCCGGAAACGGCTGATGACTGAGACCTCGGCTCTGTTGATGTGATGTGTCCGGCTTGATGGCCCGTAATGGTAGCACATACTCTGCAGATGTGATGTGATGTGTCCGGCCTGATGGCCCGTAATGGTAGCACATACTCTGCTAATGTGATGTGATGTGTCCGGCCTGATGGCCCATAATGGTAGCCCATTCTCTGCTGATGTGACGTGGTGTGTCCGGCCTGATGGCTCTTAATGGTAGCCCATACTCTGCTGATGTGCTGTGACGTGTCCGGCCTGATGGCCTGTAATGGTAGCCCATACTCTGCTGATGTGCCGTGACGTGTCCGGCCTGATGGCCCGTAATGGTAATCCATACTCTGCTGATGTGCCGTGACGTGTCCGGCCTGATGGCCCATAGTGGTAGCCCATACTCTGCTTATGTGACGTGATGTGTCCAGCCTGATGGCCCGTAATGATAGCCCATACTCTGCTGATGTGCCATGACGTGTCCGGCCTGATGGCCCATAATGGTAGCCCATACTCTGCTGATGTGACGTGGTGTGTCCGGCCTGATGGCCCGTAATGGTAACCCATAAAAGGCTCACTGAGGGGGCAGAGGATATTCAGAATTACAGCCATTATCCAAAATACTGCCCCCTCATTACCCATCTTGCTGTGCAGACTAAATATTCATTCCAGCTTGTTTAAGTGGCCCAGGGGCCCTTTGTGAGTGGATCCGGCGCTCTGCCGTAAGTGAGTGTATGACAGGGGACATTTAGCTGGAAGGGTGCCCACCGGCTTTACCACGCTAGCTGCCCCGTCGTGTCCACTTGCTGGTTATTAGCATCTGACAGCATGGATCCAGGACGAACCTCCATTAACAGAGGACTCTCACCCATGTGTAAATAAGCCTGTGTGTCAGATCAGCCACCAAGAGCGGCCCTCCTGCGGAATGTTCCGGAGAGGCTGTACAATGTCTGGCCTGGTCGGATCGCGTGTAGAGTGATGGTGTTCACCTTGTCACTCGGACACCGCTGAGTCACACAGCTCTGGGGTCAGGGGCTGCAGCTTCTGGAGATGTGGCCCGGGGTGTTCTGTTCGGTAATCGACCTGCCATTTTGTGAGGGGGTGGGGCAGCGGAGGTGGGTGGGGGTGTGTCGCATCGCCAAAACCGAACGATCATTCATCCCCCGAGCAAACAGGCCTTTGTTTGGCTGTTATGAATCAATTGTGATCTCAATAACGCTTTAATTCCCCGGTATGAATGCGGCCCACAGAGGCACCGTAGGTCCTTTTGTTGAGCGCTCCTTTGTTCTGCGATTTGATAGGCTCATTCCGAGGACTTTTAGGAGTTTGAATTTCAGGGGAGAGCGAGCCGGAGAGCTATCGTATTCACAGCCCCGAAAAGCTCTCGCCTGTCGTGAAATCGGCCACCAGGTTGAGGGGGGACGCTTTTAACATTTAGTTGCCCTTTTTCTGCATGACCATACAAACGGGTTTGTTTGTTTTCCCAGTGTTTGTTGTGATAGCCTCTGATTCTTTCCCTTATTGTTCCGCTCGTGTTTGCCGTAACCGGATCTCTTCCGGACAACATGCAAGCCAGGCACTTAAGCACGGTGGTGTTGGGTTTTCAGGATAATGCAGGGTTTGATGTAGAAGGTGATCTGGAAAGCTCTGTCATTGCAATCTTAGGGGGTTGTTACTTTAAAGACCTTGTCAAAACTAACTTAATTTAATTTTTTCACACTCAGCTCTTATATAAGAGCCTAAAAGTCAAGCCTGCAGGGTCACGTGAATTAGCCAGGTGTTCGGCTCAGAATTTACTTTTAGCTTTTTTCCGTTGACAGACATCTCTATAAATACCAAGAATAAAGAATACAATGTATTGCAAGAAAAACGATATACAACAAAACAGCATAAAAACTACACATGTAATACAAATAGAATACAATGCAAGTAGGATACGAGTTTGAAGATAAAGGATAAAAAAAAAAGATGAGGTATGTACGTGGGAGTGTGCGTCTGCTGAAGGTTTAAACAGGGTACTGTATAAATGTTCAAAAATAACTACATACATTGCAAAAGGTGTAATCATACAAAAGTATCATATAAAAGTGTAAAAGAATGCCTATTAATATGTACTGTTTGGTATGTTATGATAAAGGTGCTTATTCATAAGGTCTTACGTGGAGGTGGGTGCCTCGGTTTTGGGAGGTGGGGATGGGGCACGGCGGTGTCACCCAGAAACGCTGGACCTTTCACTCCCCGCAGGGACGCGGCTCGGGCTTCCCGGGGAAGAGGAGGCCTCGGGGGTCGGGCCTGTCCGGGAGAGGAGGCCGGGGCCGCTCCAAGCTGAAGAATGGCGTTACCCCCATCGTGGCTCCGGGGGTAAGTCTCCTCAGCTTCTCCAGGGTGTCATTTCACGGCCACATCGGCTGACATGCTGCCCTTACGTAACTAGGGGTGAATGAAGTGGGCGGGACTTAAAATGCTGTCAATCATCAGCAGTGTCAGCTCACTTCCTGTTGAATCCAGCACCATGGTTTTTAGCAGCCTTTCATCAATAGTGTTACGCCTTGTTAAAAGTCTTAGGCCTCGTTATTAATTACAGGATGGGGGGGGGGATATTAATGAATAATAGGGTTAAGTAAGTTCCATTGGGAGGTAGCGGCACTCGATTGAACATTAATGGCATGTCGCTGTTAGCCTAGCGCTTAGCATTACTGCTGAAAGAGGACTGACGCGTTTGCATGCCCCTGGCCCAGGTGAGCATCCCGGAGACGCCGTACATGGTGAAGGAGGAGGAGGAAACCGCCATGCACAGCACCATGGTCATGTTCTCCAGCAGCGACGGCTTCACCCTCAAGCAGGTGGGTCTCCCCTTCATAAGTCCCTTTCATTTTGGAGGCATGAGCCAGTTCCTGGGGGAGGGACTGGGTGGCGGTTTTACAGGTGAATTGACGACCACGGAGAGGGGATATAGTGTTTATATCTAATGTAGTATCCTCTGCAGTCTATGTCCTCCTTCCTGTAAGTAGTTTTCCTCCCTCGCAGTCTAACTCCTGCTTTGGGGCCTGTTGTTCACAACCTGCTGGGGTCTGATTCTGTATCAGTGTTTTCCTTTAGAAAAGCGTGTCCTGCTGTGTGCAGATGTACGTGTGTGTGTGTGTGTGTGTGTGTGTGTGTCTGTCTGTCTGTCTCCTAACCCTAACCCCAACCCCTCTGCCCTCTTACAGGACATGTGTGTGGTCTGCGGTAGTTTCGGGCAGGGTGCTGAGGGCCGGCTCCTGGCCTGTGCCCAGTGTGGCCAGTGCTACCACCCCTTCTGTGTCAACATCAAGGTAAGACAGCACCCCCCCCCTCCCCCCACCTCCAGGACCAGACTCCTGGTTTTACACCCCGCTTGCCCTGTCTGTTGGCAGTGCGTCTTACCAAGCCTCCATCCCCCCCCCTCTCTCCCGCCATCCCTCCGTCATGCAGTGAGACCTGAGCGGTCACTTCCCAGCAGGCCGTGCGGCGCCAGCGTGCCCCTCCAGTGAGGCGCTTAGCGCCGATGGCTTTGCTAATTATCCAGCTGCGTGCACGGCTAAAACGTAAGCCGGATGAGTCGCTTCGGAAAAAGAACGATTTAATAACATTATTATCGCACAATCGCAGGCACAAAGGCTGTGTTTTTAAGCTCTGGAGGCGCGAGGCGAGCTTTTTGGGAGGCGTACCTGGGCGCCGCCCCCGCAAGGTGCGCTGCGTTAGCTTTAAGGGCGCTTTGAAGTGATGCGGAGCGCGTAAGTGGATTAAAAGGCCCAACGAAACCCAAACCACGAGGCTCAGCTCAAGAGCACCGCTGATCTATATCAATTAACGCCGCCGCTTACCGTAAACACAGTGTTTCCAGGCTTGGGTAGCCATTCTTGGGCTGGGCGTCTCATGAAGGATTACAGGAGCCGACCTTACGGCATAACTATTAATGTCTTTGTTTTCCTGAGCAGGATATGTGATTCTTATCTGCACAGGCGCATTCGGCTGGATGGGGGGCGGGTCTGAGCCCTTCTCCCCACTTTTGGTGTGTTTGCTGAACCGCTTCCCGTTTCCTGGAAGAAAGGTCATTTCTCTATGTCACTCATACTGAGGACTGGAGCCTTGACGTTAGTCTGTGGCTTTTTTTTTTATTGCGTTATTATAAGTTTTATTGTAGGAAAGCCGTGCGTCGTAACCAGGTCTTAAGTGAATGAGTGAATGGCATTTTTTAATTTTTTTTTTGGCCTTTCTGCATGCCCTAGACCGGGTCGAGCTGCAGCAGCAACAGCCAAGTAGCTGTAAATGCTGCAGTTAATTATCACGATGTTTTAAAGTGCTGCTGGGACCCAATGGTTCTGGTGGGTCAGACTCACCTGAGGTGATGCAGCATGATCCAGTGTTTTCTCACACGTGCATGTCTGCAGTATAAAACCTTTGTCTTTCTTCATTTTGTATTAACAATGACCTCCCTAGACCATCCCCGCTCTTTCATTCCATTAACTCCACCCAGATATTATTTTTAAGATTTTGTTCATTAGCCCCGCCCCCTCGATCACCCTGTCACCACTTACATCATCCTCTTTTACGCATTTCACTGGCTCCACCCCTTTGATCACCCTTACATCATCATGTTTCACCCGTTTCATTAGCCCCGCCCCCTCGATCACCTTCTCACCACGTCACATCCTCCTTTGTCCATTTCATTAGCCCCGCCCCCTACGTCTCTTTCTCATACCCATGTTCTGTTCAATCTGCCCCCACGCCAGATCACCAAGGTGGTGCTCAGCAAAGGATGGCGCTGCCTGGAATGCACGGTGTGCGAAGCGTGTGGGCAGGCCACCGACCCGGGCCGCCTGCTGCTGTGTGACGACTGCGACATCAGCTACCACACCTACTGCCTGGACCCGCCCCTGCAGACTGTGCCCAAGGGCAGCTGGAAGTGCAAGTGGTGGGTCTCGCACGTGCATCGCATGCCGTGCCCGGCCAGACAAACTCTGAAATTTCGTTTATGCTTCGGTTGCCATTGCGCTGAGAGAGTTCAGCACAGTGCAGTAAGTGTGATTTATTTTTTTTCTCCTCGCAGGTGCGTTTCCTGTACGCAGTGTGGCGCCACGACTCCGGGACTGCGCTGCGAGTGGCAGAACAACTACACGCAGTGCGCCCCCTGCGCCAGCCTGGCCACGTGCCCGCTCTGCGCCCGCAGCTACTGCGAGGACGAGCTCATCGTCCAGTGCCGCCAGTGTGACAGGTGGGCGGGGTGCAGCAGGAGTGTCAGGATTAACATACGGGCAGGACTGGCGTCGCAGGAACATACCACAGGGGTTATCCAGGCTGGGCGGTGATATTTCAAAGGGCAGAGTTAGTGTTCTGTGGGCGGTCCTTAGCGATTAGCAAAACTTAGCAGTAACATTGTGTTACTGCACCCATGTTAACGCTTCCTACTGCAAAACCACGTCTTGCATTCTGACCTCGCCTCCCGCTCCACCACACCCCCCGGCCAGGTGGACCCACGCTTCCTGTATAGGCCTGAACTCTGAGGAGGAGTTGGAGAACGCACCCGACAGCAGCTTCGACTGTAGCACCTGCAGGGCACAGACAGCACCATCCCAAGGTAAGGGGCACCTCTGGTGCTATCTAAGCGATTTCAGTGTGGAGGCAGGTCTTTGGGTTTGTGCAGAACCATCCATCTGTGGGCCAAACCGAAGGCCTCACTGGTGTATGATGGCGTCAATCTGAGAAGATGCCCTTCCATTATGGTGTTCCTTACCTCTTCTGTAGTGCTGTTGCCCCCACCCGTGCCCGTGATCCAGACCGTCACCGAACCGGTGGAGCCCTTGCCTGCCCCGCAGATCATGACCAAGACCAAGGAGCTTGGTAAAGCTGCGCTCTGATTTCATGCACCCTCCCCCCCGCCGTTCCCCCATGCTGCCGTATAACCATGGGCTCCGCCTATCTGCAGAGCCGGGCCGGACGTACACCCAAGACGGCGTGTGCCTGACCGAGCTGGGCCTGTGCCAGCTGCAGAGCCTGGCAGGCCACGGGCCGCGGCGCCGGCGATCGAAACCCAAGCTGAAGCTGCGGATCATCAACCAGAACAGCGTGGCGGTGCTGCAGGCCCCGGCGGACCCGCAGTCCGAACACTCCCGCGACGGGGAGCTGGAGGAGACCAGAGGTAGCTGTGGGAACATAGCCACCAGTTAAACAAATGACTTACCGATTTTCTTGAGCTCTCCGGTATGATGAGAATGCGTGCACCAGTAGGGGCCGCCTTCGGGTACACATGCAGGGCGCTTCCAGTCATTACGTGTTCCCAGAACGGACGGCAGCATATTCATCTAACGTTTTACAGTCGCACTTGTTCACGCGATCGTAGCTTGAGTTCACATGAGGTCGCATGCGGAGGGGGGGCGGGGTTTGGGGGGTTAGCTGGAAATAGCCGGCGAACCAAGGTGTATTTTAATGTGACGGTCTTCTGCCACCTCTAGGGTGGTGCTGATTCGTTCCCGTGGAGAAATGGGGATGGAGAGAAGTATTGGCGATAAAATTTAATGGGGGGGAAGTCTTTCGAAAACCACAGTTGGCAAATTGCAGTCTGGGCTTCCCAGTGAGATGAGCGTCACGGTGCTCGGCGAAATTACGGCCTGAACTTCCCACCGACTGCTGTGCTCAGGGGGATGGTGAAGCTCACAAAATCTTAACTGGAGAAACTGCTGCCCCCTTTGGCGCCCCCTATGGGTCAAATGTCAAGACCATTGTTTCCCAACATGGTCCTCGGTTGGGAGCTGGGAGGGAGCAAAAACAGATTGGGTCCGGATTGGGAAACACTGGTCTAGACAGTTTGGTGTTGAACTGTCTGTGCTTAGATACAAGATGAACCTTCCATGGCTGACCTAGATAAAGGTGAACGATGACCTAACCTTCCCAGAAACCTCACTGATTATATGTCCAAATGCATCACGGCGATTCCAGAGTCAGAAAGTGCAGATCTCCGACAACAAAAAGCAACACATGAGCGTCTTTAAATGGGCCGTTGAGTTCTTCAAGACACCGATGATGTTGCGTCGTTATTGAGCCTAGTCGATATAATTTGCGTTACTCGAAGGGGGGGGGGGGCCGACACAGTCATTTACCTGCCGCTGCTGATCTGCTGCTAGAGGGTGAACTTCTGGACTGTGATGGCAAGTCAGACTCCAGCCCCGAGCGGGAACCTGCTGATGAAGACTCCAAGGGACCTGAGGGAACCGACGGGGCCAAGAAGAGGAAGAGAAAACCGTACCGACCCGGTAGGGTGCCGCTTCCTTGCAGAGGCATTCTGGGTAAAGCCTATTGTGTGTGTCAGCATGGGTTGCTAGTGAGCCATAGGTTTTCATTCTTCTGGCAGTGGCCCTGAATTTGGGCTCCCTGGGACTGTAATGAGGCGTAACCAAAAATACGGTGGACTTGTGCAAATGGTCGGTATGAGCGTCCATTTCCTGCGTGGCATGTTAAGCTCGACTGAGCCAGGCTTAGTCTTGCCGCTCAGTGTGGAGCTCGCTAACTGTTTAAAGAGAAAAATCTGTAGGAGCTTCAGCCCTCCAAGAATTCCGACCAAGAATTTGTATTTATTAGTAGGTTTGATTGGCGTCTGTAGCAGCCAGGAAAGGCGATTCCCCCTCTGGCCCAGATCATGGTTCGATTATCAGCGATAACATTCACCAGCTGTGAGCTAGATCATATAATAGCAGAATGAAATACATACGGTTTCCTTGGAGACAGTTGGGCTGAGTCAGCTGTATGCTATTATTTCAGGTTAATTTTTTTCCTGAAATTGTTTAGGTAAATTTGTAGATTCCAATGACACACAATTTCAGGACTTTCTAATATTCAGCAGGTAAATGAGTAACCTGTCTGCTATTAGATTTGGTTGAATGTTGTTTCTTCGCAAATTGTTGGAGTTTATATTATATTTGGTCACATTGTGTGTGGTTGGGCTGATTTCCTGCCTTCTGATTGGCCCCTGCAGGTATCGGTGGGTTCATGGTACGACAGAGAAGTCGAACTGGCCAAGGGAAGAACAAACGTTGTCTTACCAGGAAGGATTCCTCGGGCTCTGTGTCTGAGAACCTTCTTGGCAAGGATGAAGGTGTGGACACCCCCCACCCCCCACCCAGTTTCAGTGTTTGCGTTCACATCCACATTTTTCTAAAATGAATTAGTTGACATTTGTTGCTTGACGTGCCACCATGACACCGAGTTTGTGGTACCCATGTGAGCTCCCTGTGTGACTGTAACCTCTTTCGGTCACTGAAGGTTGGACTGAGATGCCAGATACCCCAGTAGATGAGACCCCCCCTGGCTCTGAGGGTCTAGAGAAAGCTAAGAAGCGTTACAGGAAGCGCAGAAGCAAACTGGAAGAGGAATTCCCCTCGTACCTGCAGGTTCGATTGCCTTTGGGGGCTGGGCTTGCTGTGTTTATGTGAAAAGGCTTGCAGGTTGATCTCTTCTGTTCCATTAATGGCCATCTGACAACGTCAGGCCTGAACGTTGCGGGAGTGGCTGTGACTCACACAGCTACTGAGTTCATGGGTTTAACCTGACAGATTCATACCGCAGAATCGGCAGTGTTTCTGAGATTTGTATACTCCCCGAATGGAAAATGGGGTTTCAAGTTGTCATTTGTCTGTGCACTGCAACGGATTATTCTTCTGCTTTAAAAAAAATGACGGCTTGTTTTGCTTAAGAAATGAAAGAAAGGTGTTTCAGGTGATTCTGATGTCTGGTGATTCTGATATTTGATTCCAATATCTAATGATTTTGACATTGATGATTTGACATCTGGCGTCCGTTCCCCATGTTTATCCCTCGTGAGTGTTGCACGGATGCAGTTTGGTTGCCGGGCCGCGATATCTGTGCTGCTTTTGTTTTCGGAGACGTTACTGTGGTTCTTTGGTTCCCTGATCCTTCACAGGAAGCCTTCTTTGGGAAGGACCTGCTGGACAGGAGCAAGCAGAACCGGCAGTGCATGGAGCCTGGGTTTACTGACGACGACCGGGCGCAGTCCAACAGCAAGCCCGCCGGCGCTGGCTTCCTGAGCCCCCCTTCGGGCCCGCTGCTCGGCTCAGCTGCCCCGCCCCTCTCTGCCAAAACCGGTCCTCTGCGTACGTACACGCCGAGATGAGCACCAAAGACCTCACATTACCACCATTTGGTAACAGAGCAGGATTCAAAATATACAGCTGTTTAAATGGTGTTCAATTGCTGATCTGTGCAAATATAAGCTATGCTAATGTAGTGATACCAAAAAAATTCTAAATAATAATAACGATTCTGCTCGCCATCAGTGACCCGTTAGGCCTAATCACCCGGCCTGGCAGAAAAGCTAATTACCAACCTCCTTCTATCTAATCAATTCTGAGTGGGAATGAATGAGCTCAGTCAGATCTACTGCCTCCGGGAGGTGACTTAATGGCACTACTCTAGACACATCCAGCGCTCCCTGTATCGACAATACCGGCTCAGCAATGCCCCCTGGGTTTCTCCCCAGCCTCTGCGAACACAATGAACCATTTTTTAAAAAATGTTTTGAATCATTTGCGCTTATAAAGGCCGCCGAATAGACCGTAGCCTTCCAGACTGTAGGGATACGCTTCCTGGGTGTGACTGTTGCAGAATTAGCCCCAGATTAGCGCAGGAAGCTAACGTGCAATGTAAAAGTGAGTGAGTGGGGCTGGCGTGCCTGTTTGCTTCCCCAGCCAGCACCGAGGACCCCTTACTGGACCTGTCGGAGGTGCTGAACACGGACAACGACATCCTGGGAATGCTGTCGGGGGATCTGGTGAAGCCAGCTGAGCATCGAGGTGAGCCGTCGCCATGGACACAGGCTGTTGTCATGTTCCCACCCCCCATGGTTTGCCATTGTCCGGTCCTACCTCTCCATCCACTCCATCATCACATTCACCCGTTTTGTCCGGTTCCTGTAGGTCTTCATTTAAGCCGCTTCCAGGTCGAGAGCTCCACCTCTCCATTTGGTAAGGAATGAACCATGGCTTAACCATGGCTTAGTGGCCCCAACCCCTCCCCCCTCCCCTGCAGCACAGCACACCCTGCATGTGCCCCAACCCCACCCCCAATCTCCATAGTGTCGTTATGGTGTGTAGCAGTAGTCTAACTGCTTTATTAATGTCCTTTGATGTGATAACACTGCTTAAATATGTAAATTAATCTGTATGCGGGCAGTTTAAGTAATAATTCATCAGTCAGGTTTATAAATTCAGCCAGCGTGTTCTTCCGAATTCATACTCTGGTACCCCTGATTCGCTCATTCGGGTGTCAGTGCTGACGAACGTCTCCTAGTGAGGCCCTAGTCTCTGACAGTACAGTCTTGGTGCCGTACTAATCACTGGTGTACCGTACATGGACAGTACAGCACAGGGCCAAGCCTGCTGTTGGTGGCTCAGTACTTCTATTTCATATAGGAGCATTCATTTAGTCAAAAGTCTGGATATTTGATTGGCCTGTAAAATACAGCTGTAACAGCTTAATGTCTAAAGCAGGTGCTGGTACTTGATCTCTTTATTAATTGCCTGCCTGAAACATTTGTGTAACCAAGGCAGTTATCAGTTAATTTAGTGGATTAATAGTAACCTTACTATTAGCTCACAAGTCTCTGCCGTACCCATGAAATTGACAGAATCAACCCGCTCTGTTTTTAATGATCCTTACTTATCGGAGTGACATGGTGTAATTTTCCACTCAGATGAGCCCTATTCTGCCTACTTGGGCCCCCAAGTACCACAGCAAAGTGGAGGATGTGTCAGTCTCATTAGGCCGTTGACGTTTTGACTCCCGTTTGTTTCCTTTATCTCCACATGGCAACCCCAGTGCAGATCGGTCGCCAGATCTTCTTTTCTGCAGTCTCGATGGGCTTGTAGTCTTAAGGCTGGTTCATGCTTCTCCGCACGCGTACCGGCGGACGTGTCTGCTCGAGCGTTCATGACGCGTTTGATGTCATCGTGCACCTCCGCAGACAAATGCCTGCCGCACTACAAATTTGTGTTCGTGCGACTCTGGACACACTGCGCATGATCGATTCGCTAGCGTCCGCTTTAAATACCAACATGGATGCTTATGACAAGCATTGGGATATTTTGCAAACCCTACATACTATTTACAAGGTTATAGAACTGTTACATACATGTAAATACGCATGTATGTGAGTGCAGACTTGTTTGACCAAAGGCAACCCTGAATTTGTAAAACATAGAGAAAGGGATACAAACCTCACTGTTGTGGTATGTGTGCTGGGAATATCAGAATAATCATTTATATTAATATTGTTAATAAAAATACATATAAAACACAGCATGTGCAAAGTATGCGGCTTGACCAGAGAACTACGAACATTTCCATCTACACATATACAGACTGGATGCACGAGTATTGCGCTTGTGCAGAGAAGTGTGAACCAACCTTTACGAATGTGGTCAGGGGATGGAATTAAATACAGAATGTCTCCATCTGTGTGTGATCCCTACTAGCTGGTCTGAGCATTGGCCCCCTTGCAGACGACTCTGCCACAGTCCCCCCGACACCCCCCGGGCGAGGACCCCGACCACTACCGGAGGAGCCTCTGGATGGGATCCTGAGTCCCGAGCTGGACAAGATGGTCACTGATGGTACGGAAGAGGCGTGGTACATTCTCCGTATCAATAACAAAGGCAGCGGCCTTCTGTCTGTGCAGAAACATGCAAACTGCTTGAATATTGCAGGTGGTTAGTGTCATAAATGTTAGTTTAATTAATATGGGAGTTGAGTGATGAGTAATGTGATGTCACACGTTTAGGCTTTAGTGATTTGTATAGCAGTTTGTGTTTAGACCCATATGCACAGTCTGGAAACCAAAATTCCAAATGTCGTCTTTTTCTCCGTGATCTTCCTGATACAAAACCTAATTATGAGGATTTTTTTTTTTTCCCCCTGTCACAGGTGCGATTCTCAGCAGGCTTCAGCAAATTCCAGGTCTGTTGTCTTGGACTCTTGCATATTCTGTTATTAATTAGCATGTTACACCAGTAACACTCACCATTGCCCCCTGTAGAGCTGGAGGGGAAGGATGTCGAAGACCTTTTCACAGCAGTCCTGAGTCCCAGCACCAGCCAGCCCCCTCCTCTAGCTCAGGTGCCGCCATCCTCTGCCATTCCACTGGCAAACCCAGGTATGTTCTTACCTTTGATAATGGATTCAGTCCTTTTGAAAAGGATTTGTAAGTAGGGATATACATGCATACTGTTTATACTGATTTACTGCTGTTTAAAATGCATAGAAATCTGAAATCCACTTCTGGGAGGAAGCAAATCTTGGTGCGCTTGATGCATTGCCAGTGTTTTCACACTGGCCTGTTTTTCCTTACAGGAAATGGCATTTTTCCACGCATGCCGATGATGAATGGCCTCATGGGACAGAACCCAAACTTCCCTCCAGTGTCTGTGAATCCTGGGAGAGGCGCGTGTGTCCCGAACACCTTTCCTCCCGTTCAGTGCCTGCCTTTCCATGATGGCATGAGGTGCTAATGTCTCTCTTGCTACCTTCACTAGCTCGAGGTGTCTCATTTCTACAGGCACAGTAGAAGTGTCTCATTTTTTTGGGCATTTCACGGCAGGCTTGAGCAGTCACAGGATAAGGGGTCTGAGAGAGTCTGTTTTGCATTTGCATTTTGTTTGTTTAGCGGGCAGATGTTCTGCAGGGTACTGTACATAGCTAACATGGCAAATGTAATACGTGCACCAAGTAAACAACAGGCACTGTCAACATGCTGCTTGCCAAGGAAATGACCAAATTCCAGATGTTTCTTTGGGACCTTCAGCATATGGCCAAGTTTAGTCAACGCTGCCCTTCAACACTCTTTTTCCACAGAGACAAGACATTTCGGCAAATGCCCAGAGAGCCAGCAGGCCCATGGAGCGCAGCTGGCTCCGCCCCCTCGCTCGAGGGCGAGACAGACACCATGTCCAATACCCAGAAGAACACCCTCAAGTGGGAGAAGGAGGAATCGCTGGGCGAGGCAGCCACAGTCGCTCCTGTCCTTTACACTAACATGAACTTCCCCGGCCTTAAGGAGGAATTTCCAGGTAAGATCCAGGACCTTCAGCTCCTTAAAGTTGCTTCAGGCTCTTTCAGCACATATTCCACGGAGATCCTCTGCCTTTCTTCAATGTTATGTGTAATGCATGTTTCAAAGAATGTGCAGTGATGCCTTCTAAAATGTTGCTCATCCAGACTGGTCTACAAGAGTCAAGCAAATTGCAAAGCTGTGGAGGAAAGCCAGCTCCCAGGAACGGGCACCATATGTGGTAAGACAGGCTTTTAAAGAATCTGTAATTAGCATTTTTTGGGATGGATCTGAGGGTCCGACATGGGTGCTGGTTTTTATTACAGCTGAACCCTCCCTGAGTGAACATTGAATTCAGTGCTGACCTGGCTTAGGGTGATGCATACCTTATGTCTTTGGTGCTCTAGATCAGTGTTTTTCAACCCATTCCTCAGGGACTTGGAGAGAGCAAAAACATTGACCGTCTGTGGGTTCAGACGGGGTTGAGAAACATTGCTCTAGATGGCACGATATTTTTATAGAAATTAATGTGTCAGTTTGATGTGGCCAGAGATAAAGCATTACATATTTCCATGATTTCATTCACAAAAAACTGTTGCCCTGCACCTTGATGCTTACAGATTATTTTTGCAGTTTTGTGTCAAATATAGAAAATACAGGTTTGGATGCTGTTCAACCGAATAGTTACTTCAGCATTAGTTCAAATACAAGAACTTGTGGCCATAGGTGGACATTAGCGGGAGAACATTTCAAACTGGATTTGAGAAAGCACTTCTTCACACAGCATGTAGAGTATGGAATTGTCTTCCTGTTAGTGTAGTGCAAGCTAAAACCTTGGGTTCCTTTAAATCAGAACTAGATAAGGTTTTAACAACTCTGACTTATTAGTTGAGTTCTCCCCAAACAAGCTTGATGGGCCAAATGGCTTCCTGTCATTTGTAAATTTATGTTCTTATTGTTTGTTGCATTTTGTTTTCAGCAAAAGGCTCGAGACAATAGGGCCGCACTCCGCATTAACAAAGTGCAGATGTCCAATGAGTCCATGAAAAGGCAGCAACAACAACAGCAGCAGCAACAACAGCAGCAGCAGCAGCAACAGCAGCAGCAGCAACAGCAGCAGCAACAGCAGCAGCAACAGCAGCAACAGCAGCAGCAACAACAGCAGCAGCAACAACAGCAGCAGCAGCAGCAGCAGCAGCAGCAGATGGACATGTTTGACCCCAGCATCCCCTTGGACTCTGAGCTGCTCTTCAAGGACCCCCTGAAGCACAAGGAATCTGAGCATGAACAGGAGTGGAAGTTCAGACAGGTGAGGAGGGCATGTCTGGCACACTGGAAGAAAGGGCAAGAGCCAGTCAGAGCAAGATGAATACGTAACCTCTTGTTTATGCTCTGCTCTGTTTCTCCAACAGCAAATGAGACAGAAAAGCAAACAGCAGGCAAAAATCGAAGCCACACAGAAGCTCGAACAGGTTAAGAGTGAGCAGCAGCAGCTCCAGCAACAACAACAGATGGGTGGTCGGTCGGAAGGAGACACACCCAACAGCGGCAGTGAAAGCCCCGTGGCCTGTCAGTCTGGTAATGGTAACATGTCGCCCATGCAGCAGGCAGTGCCCAAGGATGGGTTTCCTCGCCCGCAACTCCCTGGAACACCTACGTCAGGGTCATCTGATGATGTCTTCTTGCGTCCCCCACCTCCTCCCCCAGCTGGTGTACGGATGCCGGTTCAGGATGGGGGTGCCTGTCCGCCACACGGGCAGTCCTCCCAGCCACAGTCCCCGCAAAGGTTCTCTCCTAGCACTAGTGGCTCCAGACCTTCCTCCCCCTGGGACCCATATGCCAAAATGGTGGGGACTCCTCGGCCACCCCCGATTGCATCAAGCACACCTCGTAGGAGTTCTGTTGACTCAGGAAAATCTCCCAGAGCAGAGCAGCAAGAACGAGAGCGACCTTCTCCTGTCCATGAATCATTTGGCTCTCCGACTTCCATGAGCAGTGACCCCTACGCTAAACCGCCTGACACTCCCAGACCTGCAACGATAGCAGACCCATTTCTGAAGCCTATGGGGCCACCAAGGTCATGCTCTGCTTCTGAGCAGCAGGGAAGGCAAGTGATGAGTTCACCGGCAGGCAACACGTTTGCCAGACCAACACTTCGAAATGAGAGCTACCAGCGGATGCCCCCAAACAGGATGATTCTGTCAGACCCCTATTCTAGGCCTCTGCTGACACCTATTCCTGGAAGCAATGAGTCTGGTTCTGTCCCATTGTTCAAAACCCCAATGCCTCCTAATCAGTCACATGATCCTTTTAACACCATGCAGTCTACGCACAGACCTTCAGAGGGATTTTCTCAAAATCAACAAATTGACCCATATGCACACCCTCCCCTTACTCCTCGTCCCTCAGTAAATGACAATTTTTCACATCCTTCCAGGATGGCTCGACATCCCCAGGGCAGCTCCTTTTCTCAGTCTGGACCTATGGTACAGCTGCCTTCTAGAGATCCATATAGCCAAACTGCTTCTGACCCCTATGCCCAACCTCCTGGTACCCCTCGACCTTTACCTGACCCTTATGCCCAACCCCCTGGTACTCCTCGACCTTTACCTGACCCTTATGCTCAACCCCCTGGTACTCCTCGACCTTTACCTGACCCTTATGCTCAACCCCCTGGTACTCCTAGGCCTTTACCTGACCCTTATGCCCAACCACCTGGAACTCCTCGACCTGTATCTGACCCTTATGCCCAACCCCCTGGAACTCCTCGACCTNCCTTTACCTGACCCTTATGCCCAACCACCTGGAACTCCTCGACCTGTATCTGACCCTTATGCCCAACCCCCTGGAACTCCTCGACCTGTATCTGACCCTTATGCCCAACCCCCTGGTACTCCTCGACCTGTATCTGACCCTTATGCTCAGGCACCTGGTACTCCACGATCTTTACCTGACCCTTATGCCCAACCGCCTAATACTCCTCGATCTTTATCTGACCCCTATGCTCAACCCCCTGGTACTCCTCGACCTGTATCTGACCCCTACAGCCAATCTCATGTTACTCCTCGTTCTTTGTCTGACCCTTATGCCCAGCCACCTGGCACTCCTCGGCCTTCATCTAACCCTCGACTTGCTGCTGTGGAGCAATACCCCCAACAATCTCAACCACAGCCTTCCAGTCGTAGACAGTCACCATCACACTCAGTAGACCCTTATGCTCAGCCACCAGGAACTCCACGTCCAGTGATGGGAGAAAGTTTCTCCAAATCCCCAGGTAGCCAGAGAAGTGTTGATCCTTATCTGCATTCTCAGAGGACTCCAAGACTCATGAATAGTGGTCCATATGGCCAACCGCCTGGCACACCTAGACCCTTTTTGAACGATCCCTACGCTCAGCCTCCAGGAACACCACGGCCTGGAACCAGCACAGAAGTGTTTAACAGACCAGTTACAAGGCCCTTGCTGGCCCCACAAGACCCTTTCTCCCCACCTCAGGGTGCGATGCAGGATACCTTTGTACAGCCAGTAACCCCTGGGTCTCAAACACCAAAGCACACCGGGTTATCTGATGATGGATTTGCACAGTCCCAGCCTAACCTACCCAACCAGACTCCCATTCATGACCCTTATGAGCAGGCCCCAATGACCCCTCAGCCGCTGGTACCTGAAAGACTCAATCATGAACTTAAAGATCAGCAAGGAGTAGGGCCTGAGGTCAGTTCCCAGGATATAGCACAGTTCTCTGATATCCCACAAACCGCTGGAACAGTCTCTGATATTCAGACTGGAGGACATCAAATTCTAGATGACAAAGAAGAAACACTTAGGAAGGTATGATTCTTTGCTTTTCTTGATGTATATTGCATCATGGAAGGGGTGTAAATGACACAACGCTATAACTGTTGGCAGTTTCAAGGTTTTCCAGTCATTAACATTTGTGCCTGTGTCACTGACTCACTCACATCTGTGTTGTTGTTTAGCGCCAGCGGATCCGGGAGCTAATTCGCAGGCAGCAGCAGCAGAAGAGTGCTCTCCGGCAAGAGAAGGGCCTGCCGGACCCTGCCACAACTCCAGTACCTGGAACTACTCACCAGGAAAACTTGGGCCAGCAGAATGAGATGTTTGGCAGGCCTCCTCCCCCATACCCTGGGACCATGAAAGGCCCACTGAGGGTTCCAAAACCTTTCCCCAGTGACCACCAAGGTCATTTCCCCAGTGAAGGGCACTTTCCTAGACCTCAGTTTACTGGGGAAATGAACAACATGGGCATGCGACCACATGGGTTAAGGTTAGTTTATTAATGTTTGTGTAGCATATGTATCATTAGTACTGTTCTTGTTGAATCTATAATAAAACAATGTTAAAACTAGTGTTTTGATCTGCTATCTGATCTTTCTTATTGATTGTAATTCTAACAGGAAGTGCTTGGACACTTAAATACTGAATTTGCTTTTCTCCTCCAGGTTTGGGTTTCCCTCGGCGGCACCAGGGCCACATGGGAGCCAGGAACACTTTGTTAAGCCACATCAGATTCCTGAGCCTATGATGGATCTCCCCCCACAAATGAGAAGGTCTGTGTCCATTGACCTTGGAAGAGCAATGGGGAACAACCAGATCGGGCTTCGTCACTTTCCCCCCAGAGGTTTGCAGGTGCAGCAGCACAACATAATGGGACAGCCATATATAGAACTGAGACACAGAGCCCCTGAGAACAGAGTGAGGCTTCCCTTTGGATCTTCTGCTGTACCAGGAAATGGGGATCCTTCCATTCAGGCAGAAGCACCACCAGGATTTTTGAGTGAACAGGAGGATGGCTTCCCTGTAAATCAGGGGCCTAAAACGATGGACCCTATGGTGAACCAGTGTTCAGGAATTTCTAACCAAATGTCATCCAGTATGGAAAACCTGCATCAGCAGCCTATGCCAATGAACTCGGGGCCTCAGCATCCTCCTCTCATGCGCTCTTTAAGTCATCCGTCATCAACTGAAGCCTTAAATCCACCTTCATCCATCATGCTCCCAGCAGCAACCGTGGAACCTGCAGAGGAGATTCCAATACCTAGCACAGATGGAATTGAAGAAAAACTGGACACTGATGACTCAGCTGTAAAAGATCTGGAAGATGTGGAAGTCAAAGACTTAGTAGATGATGACCTCGAAAATCTCAATCTTGATCCTGAGGATGGCAAGGACTTGGACCTTGAGACAAACGATTTGCATCTTGATGACTTCCTCACGTCTGGAAAGTTTGACATAATTGCATACACAGATCCTGAACTTGATCTGGAGGATAAGAAGGACATGTTCAATGAAGAGCTGGATCTCGGAGATCCCATTGATGATGGTGGTGAGCCTTCAGACTTGCATAACGTACTGTCTGAGAAGAATAACACCAGCTCCAATAGCACTGAGTTGCCTTCCAAAGTGACCACAGAGCCTGGAACAGGAAAATCAGAGAAAATACCAGAGTGGTCTTCTGCTCAGGTCAAACAGGAGACCACCTCTCATAGCCATCCCCTGTGCACAAAGCAAATTGTTAAATCTGAAGTCAAAGAGGGTCAGGCATCTGCTGAGGAGACTCCTGCCTGCAGAGGTCAACATGATGGAAGAATAGTGCCTCACAAGGAGGGTCTTGGAGATAGCCCCAGGCTCATGGAAACGTCTGTTCAACAGGCTCTTCAGGTTTCAGCCAACGGGCTTTCCGATTCGACTCCAGTCCTTTCACGCCTGCTGATCAAGGAGAACTTGGAAGAGGCTGCACTCAGCTCAACAAGCTCTTCTAGTCAGAGTGACCTAACGGCTCAAACTAGCCAAATGAAGGGAGCACAGCAGACTCCGAACATGATGATGACGGCGGCACAGATCCCTGACCATGCGATGAATCCCAGTATGGCTGTGGGTCATCTCATGAACCCCATGCAAGGAGCGCCACCTGGAAATCTAAATCTCGTACAAGGGCAGCCCTCATGCCAAGCCTTTGCAGGCGACCTGCCGGCAGACTCAACGCTTGCTCTGGAGAATCAGCAGCTGCCTGGGACCATGGCCCAAGCACAGGCCCAGCAGGCTTTGTTTACTCAGGGCTTGAGCCAGCAGAACCAGCAAAACAGACCTCTACTTCTGGATGAGCAGCCCCTCCTTCTGCAGGACTTGCTAGACCAGGAAAGACAGGAGCAGCAGCAGCAGAGGCAAATGCAGGCCATGATTCGCCAAAGATCAAGTGATTCTTTCTTCCCCAACGTTGGTAAGATTCATGAGAGTTCATCCCTTAGTACTTCCTTCATTCACCTTGAAGATCCCCGCTTTGCTGCTTATCGTAAAGAAGCACCATGTTCACCGCAGTATCTTATGTCAGTATGTAATGGGATCCTATGTGAATTTTGAGGTTCGTTTTTATCACTCTTCAGACTTCGACGCTATCACTGACCCCATCATGAAAGCCAAGATGGTCGCTCTGAAGGGAATCAACAAGGTCATGGTTCAGAACAACATGGGAATGGCACCAATGGTCATGAACCGGTATGAAATGCAGTAAAATTTATTATAATATTTTATTGTTCAGTATCAAATTCCACCAAAACCTTAGCAGGATTGTTGTGAAGCCTTGGCTACAGTCATTTTTTGTGTTTGCTATACCATGTGTGCATGAGTGTTTGAACGTTCCCTTCTTTACAACGGTTGCATCTTATAAGACATTATTATAGACCACATTGCATGTAAAGGAATTTTAGTGTGCTCTAAAAGACAGACTATCTTTTCCAAAAAAGACGGACTGTGTTTTAGATGGAGTGTTTATATAACATGGGATTTTCTGCTAGGTTCCCGGTAAGTGGCCCACAGGCACCAGCTCCTCAATGTCACAGCAGTGGAGTAATCTCCCAGCAGGCAATGGGCCAGGTATGCTAATTACTTTTACTAATGTAACTGGGTTAGTTATAAAGGATGATGGTCTCACTGTTTCGACATAACCATTTCAGGATGGCAAGTTGGCACCCCATATCGTACGACCCAGTCCTCCTAATTTTGGGCCGGGATTTTCCAGTAAGTATATGTATGATAATTATGGAGATAGGGTCTTTCTCCCTCCACTGCACACTCATCAGTGTTTTCAATCCATTATGGATTTAAATAGAAATTCACTTTAATTAGTATTGTAATATGAAGTTATGCTACATATTAATTTACATAATTTTTATTTGAGTAGCCAGTAAATCCAGTCTGACTTTTATTTGTTGCGAAAGTCCAAAATGACCCTGTTCATCCATCGTTGCCCAGATGACACTCAGAGGAAGCAGTATGAGGAGTGGCTTCAGGAGACCCAACAGCTGCTGCAGATGCAGCAGAAGTTTCTGGAAGAGCAGATTGGGGCCCACAGGAAGTCCAAGAAAGCCCTGTCTGCAAAGCAGCGCACGGCCAAGAAGGCGGGTCGTGAGTTCCCTGAGGAGGACGCTGAGCAGCTGAAGCACGTGACGGAGCAGCAAGGCGTGGTGCAGAAGCAGCTGGAGCAGGTACAGCGTCTGCGTAGCGTCTGCGTAGCGTCTGCGTAGCGTCTGCGTAGCGTCTGCGCGCAGTGCGTCCTGATCCCTGATATGTAATATCATGTGAATCAGTGCTGTAGTTTAATGCCATATCACCTCTCCACTTGATTTTAAGTGTGTTTGTCATCTGCTGAAAACATCAGATGAATTTCCTTCTCGCATCCTCTCATAATTAATGCATGTACCAAGGCTCCAATCTTTCTCCATACATCAGATGTCTTGACCTATGTTCTTTGTTTCCGGAAACTTCACCATCCGTGTCATCATGTTATCACAGACCAAGGAACATGTTGACCTGCTCAGTCACCAGGACATGACCCCACAGCGGGAAATTTTAATCTGCTTTCATATACACTACATGGACAAAAGTATTGGGACACCTTGTCATTAAACCTACAGGAACTTTTATGACATCACATCCTAAACCCATAGTCATAAAAATGGAGTTGGTCCTCCCTTTGCAGCTATAAGAGCTGCCACTCTTCTGGGAAGGCTTTGCGCCAGATTTTGGAGTGTGTTTGTGGGAATTTCTGCCCTTTTATCCAGGGGAGCATTTGTGAGGTCAGGCACTGATGTTGGACGTGAAGGCCTGGCTCGCAATCTCCGTTCTAGTTCATCCTAAAGGTGTTCAGTGGGGTTGAGGTCAGGGTTCTGTGTGGACCAGTCAAGTTTTTCCACACCAGACTTACCCAATCATGTCTTAGTGAACCTCGCTTTGTACACTGGGGCACAGTCATGCTGGAACAGCATAAACGGGCCTTCCTCAAACTGTTCCCACAGAGTTGGAAGCATAGAATTATCCAAAGTGTCTTGGTATGCTGAAGCATTAAAAGTTCCCTTCACTGGACCTAAGAGGCCCAGCCCAACCCTCAAAAAACACCCCCATACCATTATCCATCTGCCACCAAATTTACAGCTGGCACAATGCAGTCAGGCAGGTAATTTTCTCCTGGCATCCGCCAAACCCAGACTCATCCAAAAGAATGCCAGACAAAGAAGCATGATTCATTACTCCACAGAACACGTTTCCACAACTTCAGAGTCCAGTGGCAGTGTGCTTTACACCACTGCATCCGACGCTTGTCACTGCACTTGGTGATGTGAGACTTGCTTGCAGCTGCTTGGCCATGGAAGCCCATTCCATGAAGCTCCCGGTGCACAATTTTTGTGATGAGGTTAATGCCAGAGGAAGTTTGGAACTGTACAGTTATTGAGTCAGCAGAGCACTGGCTACCCTGCTCTCTCACTTTATGTGTTACTTTAATTTCTGTTGTTCCTTAATGCTTCACTTTGGAATAATACCACTTAGCAGTTGACCATGGAATACTTAGCAGTAAAGCAAATTCACAAACTGACTTATTGCAAAGGTGGCATTCTGTGACAATACTACAGTTTGAATTCACTGGAGAATTTTGGGGTGGTTAAGGGCCTTGCTCAAGGACCCAAAGTTAAATGTGATTATTATGCCAAGGCTCGACCCAGCAACCTTCCCATCACAGATGCAGAGGCCTAACCTGCTGAACCGCACAGCATCCCCCCAGGGGACTCATTAAACATTTGCGTGTTTACCCCCCCCCCGCCCCAAGTCAAGAGCGACAGTTCCTGCATGTGAAATGCTCATTTTTGTTTTGCCTCCAGATCAGGAAGCAGCAGAAGGAGCACGCTGAGCTGATCGAGGAGTACCGCGTCAAACAACAACAGCACTGCGGCCTACAGCCGCCCATGATGGCCGCCATGCAGGGCCAGCCGGCCCCTGTCCCTGGGGGCCCATCCATCAACCAGCCCGTGGGCCAGCTTCACCCGGGCCCCCAGCCCAATGCCCCTCGCTGGCACCCAGGCTCCCCGGCCCCTGCCATGGGCCCCCGGATGCCCTCCCTCCTGCCTCCTCCGCAGGTACCCCCAGCTAACCCCGGCCCGCCTCCCGCACTCCCGCCGGCCGCCAAGATGGTAGACGTAGCGGCGGCAGCCGGCGAATCCCCACAAGTGAAGTTTGATGACAATAACCCATTCAGCGAGGGCTTCCAGGAGCGGGAGCGCAAGGAACGGCTGCGCGAGCAGCAGGAACGACAGCGGGTGCAGCTGATGCAGGAGGTGGAGCGGCACCGCGCCCTGCAGCAGCGCCTGGAGATGGAGCGGCAAGGTCTGGGGGCGCAGGACAGGACGCAGGGGGGCGTCTACAGCACCGACGTACCCCGGGAGTTTATGCAGCCATCGAGGCCGCAGCAGCCTCTGGGCCAGATGTTTCCCCAGCAGCCCAACACACAGCCAGGCTTCATGGGATCTCCTTCGGTCCATTTCACGCCAGGTGGAGATCACCGGGCTTTTCCGGGCCACGGGATGGGGCCGGGATTCCGACCCAGCAACCCTGTGACATCCGGCCCGAATTTTGCCCAGGGTCAGCCCAGACCACAGAGGTTTGGGGCACCGGGACTGCCCCCTGCAGTGGCGGGCGAGGCGCCCCCATTCGGGATGGAGCCATCCACCCCCCTGCCTCCCTCATACCCCGGGCCAGGCCAGTCACTCATCCAGCTGTACTCCAATATCATCCCCGAGGAAAAGGTCAAGAAGAAGAGGAACACGAAGAAGAAGAAGAAGGACGACGATGCTGACTCAGTGCAGACGCCCTCCACCCCACACTCTGATCTCGCTGCACCGCTGACCCCGGCAGTGTCTGATACCTCCTCCACTCCCACCCGGATCGCCCAGCACTTGGGCGAGTCGGACCCTTCCGAACCCTCATTGGGCCCCTCCACCCCTGGCCTCCTCGGCGACCATTCCCATTCCAAGTTGAACCGGGAATCATCGGGAAGCATTGGCTGTCCTCCACACCAGCAGGAGGCGACACTCCGCGAGATCAAGCTGGAGCAGATGGACAACAGTGAGTGCCAAGGAGGCAGGGACATCCAGCTGGAAGCACCCACAGCACCCAGGACGGTGAAAGTGGAAGAAGAGCTGGAGGGTCAAAGCCCCACCCAGACAGCCAAGGGGGATTCTGGGAATGAGCTTCTGAAGCACCTACTGAAGAACAAGAGCACTCCACCGCTACTGCCTAATCAGAGACCCGGTGACGGCCTGCCGTTGGAAGTAGGGCGTTCAGCTGACGGCAGCGCCCCCCAGAGGCACAGTAGCGTAGACAGCATTGGGGTAAGTGGGATGAGTCACTGCTGGAGCTTCTCAGCCCAGCCCACGAGTCACAGTCTGAGCATCAGGCAAATGAGTCATTTCACAAACCCACCAGCAGCCTGGAAATGTGAAAATGATTGCAATAACTCCCCCCCCCCCCCAAAAAAAAAAAGTGTTAACCCATATCATGAAATCCTCAGTCCAGATGACACGCTCCACATTTCCTGCAAATTAAAATGTACACATTTTTGATATTAGAACTTTTGCTGCAATAGGAAATATAAATAAATAGAATGCTGGTCTCAAAAAAAGTGAACGTATTCTTAGGAAATTCATCAGCTGTATGTTTTATCCATACCAGCTTGAAAAATCAAATTATAAAATAAACCCAGTCATATCAGTTTATGAAAGGAGGTTCACTGAGTATAAAATGATCTTTGCCACATGCAAATAAGGGCCGTGAGTTTTCTGAGTGCATCGATCTGTGGGAGTTTTCTATGAAATATGATGGGAAATCTGTGGACAAATCGGGGGTCATTTGGATCTTGGATGTAATGCTGTAGGTTAGAGATCTGAATCATTCAGAAATGATTCTCCATTCTGGGACATTTCTCTCCATTTATTTGTAGTTAGATCGGTGATGACCGTTCTGCAATTTGCCAGTCAGAAGAAGCTTATGGGCCTGATGTGTTAAAATGTCCCTCGCAGGTGGTGAATACAGATTGCCACCTGGCCGGTCCCCGTCCGGAACGTGGAATTCCACTCCCCGAGCCGGATAAGAAGAAACAGCGGAATAAGCGGGCACCCAAGACCGTTGAGAAGCCCACCCCCCGTTCCAAGAAGAGGAGGAAGGAGGAAGAGGAGAGGGCGTACCCCAGCACAGACACACTGATGACGCAGCTCAAACAGGTACCTCCCTCACAGGTGATTTCCGGGTTGGAGCGACACAGTATCACTGCGGTGGCTGGAGGTTCGGGACTGAAAAGAGACCATGCTCTTGTACCTTTAAACCACCTACAGTGTGGTACTGAGTTGTTTTAACACTGTACGGGATTAAACCATTATAATACACCGGAGCGTGAACGTGAGAGTCCTCTGTGCGTCAATCAGGTACCTGGCTCAGTCTTTTCAGTGAACGTGTCATGGAGATCCACAACGGCATGTGTGTGAGTAATGAGCACTTAGCGGCCATCTTGTGGTTCATGATATAAGCACCATGCTCCTTTCTCTCAGCCGGAGGGAAAGGAACATTATAAAGCACACTAATGTGGATTATTTATGAAAAAACAGCAACATTTTAACTCTGAGTTTAGGGGAACGGTATAGTGCACTTCAAAGTGTCTAATCTTTATGAAGTGGATATCTAGTATAGTTTTTGCTCTAAGTATGCAGGGACAGACATTTTTGCCACAGTCTAAAATCTAAAGGTTTAATTGCTGTCATCTTGGTGAGTAATTGCTTTCATTATGCTTCAATTGCAGCCTTGATAGGAATAATTATGCACTTAATGTAGTTTCTGGGAGGCATAAGCAAGAAATCGGGCTTAATTATGGTCACGCCCAGCTGTTCGATGAGGCCCAGTCACTACTCAGGTGGCTTGTTTTCCTGGCCAGTCGTAAGTGAGCATTTAAGAGGTGTGTGAAGCTCATTGGCTGACAGGCAGCCATCGCCATGACGCCTGGTTATCTGCCTTGCTCGCTTCTTCCCTAACACACTGTTTCTCCTCCTCTTCTGCTTTACATGTCTTCTTCCTTCTTTCTCCCTCTTTAATACTCCTCTTGCTCTGTCCTCTTCATTACCTGTCTCGCCTTTGCTACTCCCTCCTTTTCTCTCCTTCCTCTCCTCCCTCTTACCTTCCCTCTTTGATTCCCCATTCCACCTCTGCGCCCTCTCCTCCTCCTTCTGTCCTCCTTCCATCTCTGACCCTCTCCCTCCCTCCTTTTCTCTCCTTGCCCTCCTCCCTCTTACCTTCCCTCTTTGATTCCCCACTCCACCTCTGCGCCCTCTCCCCCTCCTTCTGTCCTCCCTCCATCTCTGCCCCTCCCCCGATCCTTCACTCTCTCCCTCCCTTTCACTCCTTCTCTTCCCCTTACCCTCCTTCTCTCATTTCCCGCTCTACCTCTACACCCTCCCCCTTCCTTCTCTCCCTTCTGCCGTCTTCACTCTTTCTCCCTCTTCCTCTCCTTCTCGGTCCTCCCTCCATCTCTACCCCCTCCTCATCCTTCTCTCTCCTTCCCTCTTCCCTTCCTTTCCTCCCTCTCACACTTTCTCATTCCCACCATCTCTGCACCCTCTCCCCTTCTCTGTTCCCCCCTCCATCTCTGCACCCTCTCCCCCCTCCTCGTCCTCCTCTCTCTTGCCCCCTTCCCCCTTTAACAGCAGCTGTCCCTCCTGCCCCTGATGGAGCCCCTCGTGGGCGTCAGCTTTTCGCACTTCCCCCCGTACGGCAGCGGCCAGCTGGACGGCGAGAGCCAGCTCTCTGGGGCTTTTGGCAGTGCGTCGCTGGGCGGCGTGTCCGACTACTACTCCCAGCTCATCTACAAAGTAAGCCCCCCCACCAGTCAACTAGCTCCTATTATCACTCTTACGTATAGTTACTGAGACATTCAGACCGGCTGAGGGTGCAGCAGTCTGCTCGTGAGAGAATCACATGACCCAGCAGCACTGTGTGAACTGGGAGTCTGCAGCAAGCCCAGAGTGGTGCTGCCATAGGAGTCCCTGAAGGTGCATATCTCAGAGATATCATGGAAACGCGGCGCTGATGAGACGGGGTTTACGCTGCTTACACTCAGTCACATGGTGGCGCTCTTCCAGCAGGACAACCTCAGCAATCCACCCACGCCCCCAGCCTCTCTGCCTCCGACCCCCCCGCCGCTGGCACGGCAGAAGATGGTAAATGGGTTCGCTACCACAGAAGAGTTGGCTACCAAAGCCGTCGTCATGGGTGAGCGCCGGCGTTCGGGGGCGGAGTGACACGTGCGTTTGGGGTGGTGCCTGTGCACATCCTTGTTCCATAACTCACTGCGGAACCATAGCTACAGTTTCCCACCACCCACGTTCGGTGATTTTACCAAAGAATATCAGCCGCCGTCCAGATTTATGTGTGAGGTGTTAATTAAGGAAGCGGAGTGGGCGGATCCTTCCCTGCAATGCATTGTGGTAACAGATCTGACGCCCACAGTGACCAAAGGTCTGGGACCCAGGAGCTTCCAGGCTCCGTTTCGCCCGGAAGATGAGCTGCTTGTGCGAGCGATCGCCCAAGGCCCCAAAACAGTGGATGTGCCCGCCTCGCTCCCCACGCCCCCCCACAACAACCATGAGGAGCTCAGGTAGGTTGAAGGTGATCTGCTGGGACCCAGGCCCGGCTGCAGCACTCGGGGCAGACAGGCCAGCTGTTGGTTCCGCCTGACTGTGCTGTGGCCTTAAACCTGAAGTTTTAAACATTTATGAGCTTCAGCTCAGCTGTGACTGGCTTTTCATGTCTGCACTTTAACGGGTGTGCCACCTTGTGGTGGTCCGTGGTTTTACACTCTGCGGAGGGGAGAATTCAGCCCTTAAAGTGAGGGTGTAAAGACTGTTTCTCCCTCTTTCTCTCCCTCTCCTGCCCCTCCTTCCCTCCTTGCTCATTCCTCCCCCATCCACGTACAGGGGCCAGGAGCCCTGTGAGGACCGGGATACCCCCGACAGCTTCGTCCCTTCCTCGTCCCCAGAGAGTGTAGTTGGCATGGAGATCAGCCGCTACCCAGACCTGTCGCGGGTGAAGGAGGAGCCCCCATCGCCTGCCCCCTCTCCCATAATCCCCATGCTGCCGAGCTCCAACGGGAAAGGTGACCATGTGTAACCGCAACACAGTCTGTGCAGCCATAATGCAGTCTTTGTGGCTGTACTGCGGTCTATGCAGACGTAATGTGGTCTGTGCAGCCATGACGTAGTCTGTAAGGTTGCAACAGAGTCTGTGTAGATGTAATAGTCTGTGCAGTTGTAATGAAGTCTGTGCAGCCGTAATACAGCCTATGTAGCCGTAGTGCTGCCTGCGTGGCCGTAACACAGTCTGTGTAGCCCTAATGCGGTCTGCGTGGCCGTAACACAGTCTGTGTAGCCCTAATGCGGTCTGCGTGGCCGTAACACAGTCTGTGTAGCCATAATGCGGTCTGTGCGGCCGTCACGCAGTCTGTAGCCATAATTCGGTCTGCGTGGCCATCAAGTAGTCTATGTAGCCCTGATGCGGTCTGTGAGGCCATAACGTGATTCCAGAGACCCTAAATTTGTGTATGAAACATGGAGACTGTCCAAAAATACCACTGTGATAAATTCCACAGATTTTATATATTTAAATGGTGGGATCACATGATCTGTGGTTCTGACTGTTGTTTCTCTGAAATAAAAATCCTTTTGTCACTGTGCTCAGAACATCTTCAATGCCTCCTTTTTTCATGAATCAAACAGTGTCTGGAACCAGACCGCGGGAGGTGAAGACAGAACCTTCTAGCATGTTCTTCGGATCTCAGACGGCGAATGACTCCAAAGCTGGCCTGGTATCAATAGCGATAACCCTGAACCCAGCGGCGGCCGAGGTGAGCGCAGCACACGGGCTGCCGTTTGACGTGAGAGCGATGGGCCGCTGGTTCCGACATCGAGGCCGGCCGACCTCTGACCCGGTTCTCCGTCCTCCAGAACATCACCAGCGTGGTAGCGGCCGTGGCGAACCTCTTGGACGTGAAGATCCCCAGCAGCTATGAGGTCAGCGGGGGGCCCGACTGGGGGCCCTTGGCACTGCTGGGGGGCCTCAGGGTGCCCCACCAGGGCTTTGCGGCGCGGGTGCCCAGCCTCCTCCAGGGCGCCGGCACTGCCAGGCTCACAAGACCCATCGGAGCCCCGGGACCGATGCAGCCGCAGCTCAGCTTCACTCCCATCAGTACCGGTGAGCATCCCCACCCTACCCCCAGTAACCAGGTTCCACTTTTGGAGCTTCTAGTCAGAATTCCATTTACTCCGCAGTACTGGCTGTATCTAGGAAGGAAAATCATTTTCCTGCGTCTTCCCATGAAGCCGAATACCGTAAATTTTCTAATTAATGGACCCGGGATTTCGGGATCAATGAACAGTCCTACCAAAACCAGACAAAGGGCAGATCTGAGGGTTAGGGAATCAGGGGCATCCGTCGCAGGTGTTTGTGAGGGAAAAAAGGTGTGAAGGAACGGATTGTGCCAGATATTCGCAAAGAGAAGAAATTCCTTTCAGTGTATAATGCGGATTCTGAAAACGGCACAGGGGCCTTCAGCGAGAGTCGCGGCGCTCACACGCAGTGTGGCGTCAGGGCGGGGGGGGGGATTGGGCTGAAATCCGCAGCGAACATGCTGGCGAATCACTGCGATTCCTGAGCAGGTACTGGCGGCTTCTACACCGCCGTAAACAGCATGGATTTATGAATAAGAGCTGCGAGGGGTTCGGTTTATTTTTGGTACACGGCTGTGAGTAATTTATTATTTTCTCATGCACAATATATAATCTGTACTGTGAAATCTGTGAAATTGTGCTTCAAGTTATGCAGCTCATCTGACAGGATTTGTTTTTATATAGAGACTGTTTTACGGATGTTTGGATTTAACGGATGTTCGGCGGCAATATGGGACCTCACCCCCCCCCCCCCCCCCCGAGTCCATTAATTTGTGGACATACTGTGGCGTGTCCCTGTCCTTGATGTCACATTCTGAATTACAGCTGTGGCCTGCTTGTGAGCATCAGGGGGCCTCTTGGATGTACCTGGTCAGGTCCGAATGCTGAGGAAATGGCTCTGTTAGAAAAGCCTGTTGTCTGCTTGTGTAGTAGTACTTCTTGTTCACTTCTAAAATACGGCACGCAGGCATATGAAATGATATCTGGGTGAAGGGAAAAAAAAAATAGCCATTGAATTTAAATAAAAGTAGACCATCGATCAGCAGCGGAGTAATTACCGTGAAAGGACCCTCTTCTGGGCAAAAAATAATTAGAGGCTTGAGAGTATTATTTGCCGCATAGACCTTTTGTTTATGGGCTTGTATTCCGGCTCTCAAAATGCCTTAATTATGGCTCTGAGATGAAGGCCGACGCCCCCCCATTATGTGAGCTGTGACCATTGTTGCTTTGACCCCGCCTCCGCCGGCTGCTGACCTGGAGGGTTCTGTGTGCAATCTGCCTGCTAGGTCCATCTGCGGTTCAGGGCAAGGTTCTCCCAGGGGACCGGAACCCAGGACCCAGGCCACAGTGGTGCTGCCACTGCAAAGTGGTCGTCCTGGGAAACGGAGTCCGGAAATCTACCAAGGATCTGGGCGCTCTCAAACAGGTACCCTTAAGCCTCACGTTCTAAGTATTATTTCCGTCTTTGTTCCGCCCAAATCGCCTAATTGGATGAATAATTACCAGTGTTTGATACGACTGACCGTGTGGTTTAAGTATCCAGTTGTTCACTGTTTATTGAGACATATTCCGGGCTGGGGAATTCTGGGAAGAAGGCCCCCGGTCACTGGCATACGCGGATAAACCACCATTCCAGAAAATTGTGATATTTCTGGATTTCAAGAACAAGTAGGGCATCACCCTAACAATGCAAATGTTGTTGTTTTGAATCCCAGTAAACACATGAATTCTAACACTTCCCTCTACTGTAAGTCACTTTGGATAAAAGCGTTGGATAAATCAATAATGAAACGTATTCATGTAAATAACTATGGCCACCCCCACAGCGGGCCTCAGCCTGTCACTTCACTCCAGAGACATCTCGTGGGCGTGGGCCAGGGATTGGGAGGACATCAAAGGGCCAGCTGACTCCCACGCCTCTGTAATTATACTAAACTCCTCCCCTGGAAGGCAGCGTTGAGTCCCAGAGCAATCAGGGGGTTAAGTAACGCCGGCCACGAGATGAGATTAATGGCGGGAGGGTGAATATCAGAAAGCGTGGCCCCCACCCCCGCTTTGTGGGGGCACGCGCTGGTTCGGCAAGTTCCCGGCCTCTTTGATGTCCCGTACGTAGCGGGTACCCAAGACGCCGCGATCCCATCCAGCGTCATCAAAGCGCCACATATCAGGTGCCTTTGATGAGCCTGCAGGCCTCACGGGGGGCCCCGGCACTCAGAGTGGGAGATCCGTAACCGCTCACCGCTCACCGCCCGCCCCCTGTCTCCCAGGAACCGCAAGAGATCCAGGCCGGTGTGGACGGAAACATGGTGTTCTGCAGCCACACCTGCTTCATCCTCTATTCATCCACACGGCAGCCCAAGACCGTCAGCGTGAAGGTGAGGCCCCCTGTAGCATAAAGTATATAATAAATATATATTAGCTGTTTAGCTGTCAGAAGTCTAATGCATGCATAAATATGTGTGTATGACGTGTGAAAGGTACGCTACCAGTCAAAAGTCTGGACAGCCCTGCTTTTAATTAATTTATATCTATTTTAGCTCTTATTCACCTTATAGTAAAAGGCCTTGAGGCAATGAAGTGATACATATCAAATATTGCAATAACCAAGAGAAGTGCTTAGCATCTCAAACTATTCTGATTTTTATCCACTTCAAAATAGCCCCCTTTTGCTTCAATGACAGCGTTGCAGACTCTTGGCATTCTTTCAGCCAGCTTCCAGATGTAGCCACCTGGAATGCTTCTCCAACAGGCCTGAAGGACTTTCCACAAGTTCTGGGCACTTTGCGCTTACTCTTCGATCCAGCTCATCCCAAACCAGCTCTGTAGGGTTTAGGTCGGGGGATTGCGGGGACCAGGTCATCTTTCACAGCGCTCCATCTCTTTCCTTTTTCGCAAGATAATACAGTGCTTATATAACCTCGAGGTGAGCTTAGACTTGTTATCTTGTAGAAAAACAGAAGATTTTCAGTAGATGTGTCCAGAATTTTTACTGGTACTGTATATGTGAAAATAAATCCAAAGACATATGTGCAAATAGTTATCAGTATAAAAAGCAGATCCACATTCTTCCGGAATGTTCTCTGACAGTCTTGCTTCTGCACCAGAGCATAGAGCCTGGCCCATAACATCCCCAATGTTCCTCAAACCTGCAGCAGGTGGCGATTGCCCCCCCTCCCCCGGCATCCCCGTCGAAAGCCCTGCACCAGTACAGCAATAACATGTCGGCACTGGACGTGCACTGCTTAGCGCAGCTGCAGTCCCGCAGCCCGGCGCCACCCTCCTCACCGCCACTCACCTTCCCGCCTGCCTTCGCCGAGGCTGGCAAGACTGAGTCAAAGGCCGACATCCTCAGGGTGACAGTGAAGCTGAAGCCCCGCCTCCGTGCCATGCACAACGGCGCCGACGACCTGCGGCACCATGGCAAGCGGTGGAAGGGCACCCGCTGGAGGAAGTGGAGCGTGCAGGTGGTAGTGCCCAGCATCGGATCCCAGCTGCCCTCCGAGGACGAGGTGGACGGGCTGCTCCAGAAGCTTGGTGCCTCGCTGCGACCCAAGCCACTGCCCCGGGACCAGCGCCGCTGCTGCTTCTGCCACGAGGAGGGCGACGGGCTCACAGACGGGCCGGCACGGCTGCTCAACCTAGACCTGGACCTGTGGGTGCACCTTAACTGCGCGCTGTGGTCTACAGAGGTGTACGAGACGCAGGCAGGCGCCCTCATTAATGTGGAGCTGGCGCTGCGGCGCGGCCTGGCAGTGCGCTGTGCCTACTGCCAGCGCACCGGCGCAACCAGTGGCTGCCAGCGTATGCGCTGCACCAATGTTTACCACTTCACCTGCGCACTGCGCGCCCACTGCATGTTCTTCAAGGACAAGACCATGCTGTGCCACGGCCACCGGCCACGCAGCGGTGCCCATGAGCACGAGCTGCGCTGCTTCGCCGTCTTCCGGCGCGTCTACGTGCAGCGGGACGAGGCACGGCAGCTGGCCAGCGTGGTGCGACGCGGCGAGCGCGACCACACAGTGCGCGTCGGCAGCCTCCTGCTCCACACCGTGGGTCAGCTGCTACCCCAGCAGATGGCCGCCTTCCACTCGGCCACTGCCATCTTCCCGGTCGGCTATGAGGCCAGCCGCATCTACTGGAGCATGCGGCACGGCAACCGCCGCTGCCTCTACTTATGCTCCATTGACGAGCACGATGGCACGCCGGAGTTCAGCATCCGTGTGGTGGAGCAGGGCTACGAGGACCTGCTGCTCACTGACACCACACCCAAAGGTACAGGAAGCTCCCACCTGTCATTAGAGTGGCCGTAACTCATACTGAGAGGCCGACTTCATCGTTAGCCAGTGATATGTTATGAATCGGTGACTGACAGGGGAGGGGCACTCCAGGGGGCCAGTCAGCATTCAGCTTCTAATCGTGGTTAAGGCCAGAGTATTTAAGGATACCTCAGGAAGCACGGGGTGCCCCCCCCCCCAGAGGAGGTCCCTGGCTACACTGACATATGAAACGCAGGGTTTTTACAGTTTTTATGACTACTGACCTCATGCCCTGGGATCATATGAGGTCATTGTTAAGGATTGTTTTTTTGCCCCGGCATAGGAGTGTGGGACAAGGTGCTGGGACCAGTAGCGGAGCGGAGAAGCGAGTCGAGCACTCTGAAGCTCTTCCCCGTCTACCTGAAAGGCGAGGACCTGTTTGGGCTCACTGTGTCTGCTGTGACCCGCATCGCAGAGTCGGTGAGCATGAAGCCGATAGGTGCACCGTCCGCATCCAATCCGCTCTCTGTTTCGCTCTTTGCTTGTTCTCTTTTTTAAAAAG